CTTTGTGTTCTTGTGGTTGATATACTCCTGCGAATTTTTGTTCTTCCAAAAGTTTTTGATTTTTGAAGAACACCTCTATTCACCCCCCCCCCCTCTAGAGGTGCGTAAGTTGTTCAACAGTAAACTCTTAATTGCATTCCTAGAATTATATTATAAGATGTTTATCAGAATGAGTCTTCTGATGTTGAGACTGACATCTTGTCACTTAGTATAATTCTAAACGGTCTATAGTCAAAGCATTAACGAGAGTATGATATCGTTAGTGCGTGTGAGACTAGTGAGAGTTAGATGTTTGACCTAGTCTCTTGGTCAATGACGGAGTGTTCGCATCTACTCTCAGGCAGATATTATCGTTAATAATAGGATGCCAGACCTGACCCACCTTAAGGACATTGCCTAGACTTTTAGTCTATGCTCTAAGTGTCCTTAATGCGACTATTGGTATAACGATCCTCAGACTTGAAGTATTACGTTCTTCGAATATGTGAACCTGCATGCTTTGATTCATTGTCCTAAGCCGTATGAAATAAGGATGGTACACAGGCTTTGTATTGGGCATGTTGCTGCACGTATTCGAAGACGTAGATTACGTACAAAGAATTTGTCACTGCTACTCAACCAGAATAATGTCTTACAGGGGCCCACTGATAAGTATGACTGAAGAAATGCATGGCGATGAGTTTAGACATCTGTTCTCATCAGTCAAACTTGTTAATCAGTAAATAACTTAATGGCTACAAGTTGGATATTTGATATCCCTTGCACTAAGTTAAGACATTGGGACAAAAGGATCTACGTTATACAAAGTCTTAGTCGTAGAAAGGTTTTGACGGAGCAAACGTCTGAACTTATAATCTGGGGGTAATAATGTGTTGCTAGATAGCGCTTATTACTTATAGTATTGGTGTAGAGTCAATACTGTGGAAGTGCCTATATGGGTCACACACTTTGGACAATTTAAAGAGTAGGATTATAACAAGGGATAATATTTAATTTGTATATTGTAAAATAGTAAAGTAAAATATGTAAATATATTTTGTATATGTATTTATTACTTAGTACGTACATTTTTTTTGTTATAATAATAATGTATATATCTCCCTTTATTTTATAAGGGCCTAGGATGTTACTCCTCGTTCTTTCTCCGTCTTATTTGACGCCTCCGTTAATTCACAAATTCCACCAAAGTTAGAGGACATTGGTCGATTGCCGCCCACCGCCCCATGACATACGCTGCCTGGCCGTCCACCGCCCCACGACATACACTCTCACGACATACCCTGCGTTGCCGAACACCGCCCCAGAATAGATCCCCTTTTATATCTTCCAGCGACTGCAGATCCAAGTACTCTTCTCCAACTCATCTACCCGAAATCAAGGTAATTCTATCCTTCTTCTTCGCATTAGACAGCAACTTCTTCCTTTGGGGTTTAGATTCATACTTCACTTCCTAATTATTATCCTCTGCATCTGACGAAAAATTGAAGGAGGTCAAAACAAATACTCCCTCCGTCCTAAAATTAACTTCTCACTTTCCTTTTTTGTATTGTTTTTGGGAGAATTGATTTGGAGAATTGATTTGGAGAGAACCTAGATATGGAGAACTGAAGAACAAATTCAATTGACAAATGAGATTTGTTTGATTTGGAGAATTCCTATTTGGGAATGAAGGTTTGGGTGGGGATGAATATAGGGGTGTTTTGGGAAGGTCAACTTAATTTTTACCCTTCCTTAAAAATCACTCCCAGTCAAAGTGGGAAATTAATTATAGGATAGAGGGAGTATAAGTTAAAAAATGGCAATATTCTTTTGTTGTTTCAATTTGAATCAGATTCGAGATTTGAGTGTTGTGTTTTAGGTCGTGCATTTAATTTTTAACTGTGAACTAATAGGTGTTAGTAAAAATTTGCATTCATCTACATGTCGGTAGTTTGAAATAGAGCCAAATTCAGATTTCTCAATTCAATTTTATTTTATGTTTAATGGTGCTTTAGCTTCGTTTTGTTTGATTTGCTGTTTTAAATTGTGCATTTGTGTATTATGGTTGAAATAATAATCTTTGAGCCAGTCTTTAGTTAGCTTAGGTAGTTAATTTTAGATTTATTGGATATTAATCTATTTTGTTGTATTACCAGTAGTTCACAGTGAATTCAACTAACTCCAATCAAATACTTTCTATCAAACACAAATTTATGTTTACTTTCTGGCTGAATTAGTTGATAATGAAAATGAAAATGCTTTTTTTCAAAACATTTAAAATGAAAGGATACTCGTATTTTCACTAATTTATTTTATATTATATTTTGGATGATAAAGTTTAACCAAATTCAACCCATTGAACCATTTTATTCATTTTAGCCAGAAGTTACCCTTACCAAACAACTTCAAAAAAGGGATTTTATGAAAACAGTTGCAAGGGCCATTTAGCAAGCTTGCAATAACCTGAATATTCTTCACGTCAACTTTACCAGCCTCGGATCCACTGTCTTTGCTTGTATGGAGGATAGAGTTTTCGTAGAGTTTTGGTTTGTCATTTGTAATGAGAAATAGAGGCCTTAGTACACTACAAATCTCTACACGCCGTTTCTTATGTACTGTGGACCGCAATCATTATCGCACTCCAACTCCTCGTGCACTATACATAGCACTATACTTGCCGCCTACCTCCAACGCTTAGTATCTTATGAAAGTGGCAGTTTAAAATAGAACAAAATTGGCAAAGTTTTCGTTCACGTAGATTTTGAATACAACAAGTCCACTCCTTTTGAATTAGAAGAACTTGAAAAATAAGAAGCAACAGAGAGATTATCCTTTCATAAAGTCAGAAGATTAGGTTGAGGTCATTAGTGAGCACTAGAGTCACTTTCATACCATGGCCTAATTTGGAAAGGAATGCCAATGCCGCAGCAGCACAAATCACTTTGCACGGATCCCAATTCCTTTAAACATATAAAGTGATAAGGGTTTATGAGATGTTTGATATTTTTGAATCCAGAAACTTTCCAGTATAGACTAACACCCTCAAAGGTTGTTTTTGTATAGGTACTATTTGTGTCTGATGCAGCCACGTTCAGTCTAACATCTTTGTTTTTTGAACTTCATTATCAAGTTTTTGGGTGCTTGCTTTAATGAATATGTTGAAACCTCACTGCTTATGCTTATTGTTAAAAGAATAGACTACTCATGTCTACCCACATATATCTTACATCCAGTCATTCGTTTCTGTGTTCATGTTCGTAATAATAATCGTCATTTATTTGTGTTCGATACAACATTACAACATCGGTTATTTGATGTACACTGTGAATTTGATCTATAGAGAGTTTACCCTCCTATATACATTAGAAGTTACACTTATTCACTATTTTACTCACCGCAAGGAAAGACTCATGGTTACCTTTTCAATTCTGTTAGCCAAAACCAAATAAAATTAATTACATGTTCCACACTGTCGCTGAATGTTTAACACCTGTTCCTGGAATTTTAGATATGATCGAAAAACTTGTGTGTCATTGAAAACCTAAAACTTTCTCAAATTGCAATGAAAATGATAATGCAGGTTTTAAAAGTACATAAACATGAGTGCTTCTATCCATCATAAAGGTTGTCAACAACTGCCTAATACTTTCAATAACATACTTTTACTGCCTAATTCTTTTGTAAACTTCCATTCTTGTGGAAGGTGTTTGCTTTGCCTCCTTTAACATCAATACGGTTCTACCCAGAAAACAAAAAAATTGCTCTTTACATTGTACTGATTGATGCTTGATTTTCTTTGCTTCTGGTATACACTTTTACTGCTATCATTTGGTTTACACAGCCCCGCTCCACTGTTAATAGTACTTTTTTATTTTAATTTATCCAGGACCAAACATACTGGATAGAAGGCAACTACAACTTAGAGAACATGGATCAATTCCTTACTACATTGGATGTGGTACTTGTAACCGCAAAGTTGACTTCAATGAGGGAACTACCTTTGACTGCATGCAGTGCGGAGACAATACTGCAACAACTGCAAAAAGGTTTTTACTTTTATCATCTACAATATGTAGGACTCTTTCACTTCTGTCTCCACTCTAATACAATGACAAAAACATACAGGTTCAGATCTCTGCCGAGATAGGCAATGAAACAAAAAAAATACAATTCACCATCTTCACAGAAGATCTGAAAAAAGTAGCTAGATCGCTTGAACTGAATACATCAATGGAATTAGTTGACACCGAGAATCCGAACAAAGGACTCAGCTCATTACTCATCACAGCTGCTGTCAATTTACAGCCAACCACATACCAAAGACGAGATAAAACGTTTTCATTATTATACCTACATAAGCTATCTTACCAACACACAAACAATCCACATCTCAAGAGAAAAGAAAGAGCTACAAGTCAAGATGGCTAACATCTGCAGCGGAAAAGAACAAGTACACTTTCAAAGCATCTAGCTTCCATAGGGAAACTATTAGCCGTGGTGAAAATGACCTCTAAACCTTACGCAGGTTATTTTCAAATTTTGTCAAACGGGTTTTAGCCTTAACTGCATGTAAAATATATGTACTGTCATGCTACTGTAACTGTTTTGCTGCTGGTAACTTCATGTTCTCCATCTTAGTTGCTGGTATCTTAGGATATATGTAAGACTTGGAACTATGCTTTTACTCTTATCAAATGGACGCATGCTTGGGCACCCACGCACATCGTGCGTTCCCAGCTAGTATATATGTGTGTGTGTGTGTATATCACGTTTACACTTTAGTAAACTTTTATACTTTTACATCATATGTATGTATGTATGGTGGTGTGCATATTTATGTATGCATTATTACTTATATGTGTACGTATGGTGTAGTAATAACAATAATACATATATCAAAATATGTTTTGGAGTATATTTTATTTTGGAGTGTCATTTTAATTATGAAAATAATTATTTTGACAAAAACTATTTTAAAGTATATTTTATATACTTGTTTCAAAATGTTTTGGGTATTTTATTTTATATCATAAAAATTATTGATGTCAAATAAAGTACACTTTGAACTTTTGAGGGGAGAAGAATTGAGTTCTTCCCCCCTTCACCTTTTCGTACAAGCTTTAGGGATGTGGCTTGTCTCCCACTTTGAATTGTGTGGAGGAGGTGCCTTTGACAAAACTACTTTGGCCTTTTGTCATTGGTTATGTTTTATCACTTTTATAAAATGAAAGTTTTTATTACCCTCAAAGGAGACTCCATTTTCGGCCATGGTTAGTAGCAAGAGAGAGAAAATAATTTTGGTTTCCAAAATTATTATTTTGGGTATAGAAAATATTTTCCTTAAAATATTATTGATATATATATTTTCTAGTATTTAATATACAAGATTTATATTATCCCTTAAATAATCTTTATATTAAATATACTATTATAATCTTTACTAGCATAACGATTATAGTAGACTCCGGAGATTGTTCGTGTGTCAAAGTTGGAGGCCGGACGATTGAACGGCTACGTTTGCTCCTTCAATACCTTTTGCTCGACTTCTCGTTCATACCGCTTTACCGGAGAAGGTATAACTTTCTATCTCTAGCTATAGTTTTAGTACGTGTTCTTGGGCTAGTAATCACTATTGGGAGATTAAATTTTTGTATTTCTGCTGCCCTCCCTACCGTGGTTACCTTTCAATGAGGTGAGACTAGAAAAATAGGGGTGGTACTCGGAAGCCTGAATACCATGTACGTACACTAAGCCCGAACCTATGATGTCGGACTACTAAATCCCGCACAATCACGCTGCAAGAGACGCACTAGGCATGATCTCTTACGCATGCATATGATGTGATATGCTACAATATATATGATGATATGAATGATATCTTATGAACAATTTGTAATATTTATGAATATATAATCATGCATAAGTTTATTTGGTTGAAACATGATTAAAATATCATTTAGTCAAGCTACTCGGCTCAGAAAGGTCGACCGTTTGGCACGGCGGTCGACCGTGCTTTAATTCAATTCGTCGGATTCTGGTGTACCGTGACGGTCGACCGCGGTTGACCGGCGGTCGACCGTTGTTCACTGGCTGCGGATGGCGGACTTCGGCTGGACGGGCGGCGGTCGACCGTTCGCCGACGGTGGTCGACCGTTCTGCTGACAGTCGTGGTCCGTTTCGAAGTTTAACACGACGGTCGACCGTTTGCATCGACCGATTGGGTCTGCGAATCTTTCTCTTGATATTTTGAGTGTCCAAAATACTTCTTTAAGTCTTTTAAACACCTTTAATTAGCATATACATGTTGTTGGGTTGATTTCAAATGTTTATATATACTTATGTATATATATTTTAACTTTATGGATTTGGTGTATCTTGGTCTTAACATATAGATGACTTGTATATGCATCACATATATATTTTGGGATGATTTCAACATATGGATTAATATATATGTTCATGTACGAATGTGATGAACGATTCGACAAGTCTAACGCAAAGGTACAGACCTGGAAATCATTGGTTGAAATCTTAAGGATGAGCAGGAGTGGAAACAACATCGAAATTTGCCAACTTTGTCATTTCCGTCACAATTGGACAGCCTGCCGTATTTTGGGCATATCTCCATCGTTTCGTCACGGAATTGCACACCGTTTGGTTCTGTGGATTCCTAAGATGTAAGGCTATAACTTTCGTGTAGAAATTATTTTGAGTTATCATATGTGAGATAGCGTAAATCGGACGATTTACCTGAAGTCAAGGGAAAGTTGCTGTCCAGAAATTTTGAATACTCCGGTGAACAACGGTTCCGACGATTAACTCATTAACTTCAATATTTCAACACCGAACCTTCTCTACGATACCTTCCGAATGTTCCTAATAATTGTTAGAGAGTTTATGATAAGTGTTTGGAATGAAACAACATAAATATGATGAGGAAAATGGTCCAACCCGAGGAGCTCGCCACCACTGGCGCAGTTCCGGTATTTTGGTCATATCTTCTTCGTTACTTAACGAAATCGCGAGCCGTTTGTTGGGTTGGATTCGTATTGTCCGGGGCTACAACTATGGTTCAGAAAGTATTACGAGATAATGGATGGAAAATTTCAGTTTTTACCTCAAAGTGGACTGATGTGTTTTGGTTTCAGGATTTTGGTGAAAACTTTGGCTATTTCTTCTTGCTCCTTCTTTCTTAACATGCAACCATGGAGTTGAAGTTTTTATTCTTCCTTAGCTTGCTGCCGACAGAGATAGAGGAGAGGAAATGAAGCTGTGATGGTGGATGATGATGATGGAAAATGATTGTTAACAAAGGATGGAGTATTATATTGTAAAGTTTGGATTATTATGGTGTAGTAGGTGGCTTTGTAGACTTTAATAGATGCTTGACATTATGAAGGGGGCTGCGTGATTGAGTATAATTTGTGTAATAATAGTTTGGCTTTTAGTCCACACTGATAATTTTACCCCAAACGGTACACGCTTTTTCGCCCAAACTGCTCCGAATTGAAAACGGATTGTGTTTTTGGAATCAGACTGTCAAAACTAGAATTTTGACATAATCAAAATATTTTTCTGAAAACTTTTATTTTTATTTAATCTCTGGGTCTGTATCAGTCATGAATTAATTTAATAATATGAATGAGATAAAAATATATAAATTTTATCCCAATGATGAATATAGTATTGTTAAGTGTCAAAGATTAAGATTTCTAATCTTATGAAATCACTTTTGAATTGAATTTATTTTATGGGTCAAAGTTACAAATTTTAATATTTAAAATCGTCATAACTTGAAATCTATAAATCAGATTGTTTAATAAAATGTACCGTTGCAATCGTCTCTTCGAGACATATCCATAGAAATAAGTTTTTAACAAAAAGTCATTATTTTGAAAATCCATTTATTTTTGGTCAAACGTATAAATATTCCTTATTGGACAAAAACTACTTTTGTTTTATAATAAATTTTAGGCCTATTTTGTGGCGTTACACTTGAGGACATGATGAGAGCGTGCATGATCGATTTTGGGGAAAAATGGGAGTGATACTTGCCATTGATGGAGTTTGCGTATAATAATAGTTATCAGGCGAGTATTCAGATGGCCCCATACGAGGCTTTGTACAGGAGGAGGTGTAGAACAACAGTGTGCTAGACTGAATTGAGCGAGGCGAGGTTAGAAGGTCCCGATCTTGTTCACGAGACAGAAGAAAAGGTACGGTTGATCCGCGAGCGTTTGCAGACAGCATTAGATCGGCAAAAATCTTATGCGGACTTGAAGCATCGGGAGATTTCTTTCAAAGTGGGGGATAAGGTTTTTCTTAAGGTGTCACCTTGGAAAAAGGTTCTACGATTTGGAAAGAGAGGAAAATTGAGTCCTCGTTTCATTGGGCCTTATCCCATCACTGCAAGTTTTGCCCTGTAGCTTATCAGTTGGAGCTACCACCTGAACTGAGCAAGATTCACAATGTGTTCCATGTGTCTATGCTCCGACGTTATCGATCAGATCCGACTCATCGGTTACCTGAAGGCGCGGTGTCTCTAGACGAGAACTTGACCTATGAGGAGGAGTCAGTGCAGATTCTAGCACGAGAAGTGAAAGAGTTGAGGAATAAGCAGGTGCCTCTAGTCAAAGTCTTGTGGCGTAACCATGCTGTCGAAGAGGCTACGTGGGAGACCGAGGAGTCCATGAGACTTCAGTATCCTCACCTCTTCTGCGATGATGATTCAGGTAATTTCGAGGACGAAATTCTTTTAAGGGGGATAGAAATGTAACGCCTCACAACCCGGCTTGGTATTTTTAATTAATTTATATAATTAATTAATTACTAAGTCGGTAAAAATGAAGAATATTTTCTAATTTGCGTATTTAATATGAGAGTTGACCTACGTTGTAGGGCTCGTTGTTCTGAACCCGACCGCGCTAACGGATTGAGAATCAGATTCACTCTCGTACGTTTCCGTTGGTCCCTCTGCGCTCCACGTCCGTTCGTCGTTACGTTCCGCCAGCCAGGGAGAGAGACGCCGCTGCCGAGCCGCCTGAACGTCGTCGCCGTCGCCGTTCCTCATTCCCCCGTCGCACAGTAGATCCGGCCGCAACAGGGAGTGCAGCGGCGAGCATTCCCCTTTCGATTTGGTTTCTAATTCTTCAATAATTCGAGGTGATTCGTGATTCCTATACCTATAGTTGGCATTAATTCGTAGTTTAGGATCTTGTGGTAGAAATTCTGTGTTTGATTGTGAAATTTGTGGTTGATTGTGCATTAGATTGGATTGGGGGTGTGTTGGGGGGCTGTTTTCTGGCGATTGGCCGGCGGCTGGTCGGTGGTGGCTACGGCCGACGTACGGGCAGTTTCCGGCGGGTCCAATTTGGACCCAATTGGTTAAATTGGGTTAATTCGGGTCGGTTTGGATTCAATTGGGGCTGTCCGGGTAGTTGGGGCTGACCGGGTCGTTGGGCCGACTGTCCGGGGTGCTGGGCCGGCGGGTCCAGCTGTTAGGCCGGCTGCATTGGGCCGTTGGGCCAGTAGCGTTGGGCCGGTTGAGTGGGGCTGCCTGAACGGGCAGCGGGTTGGGGCTGCCGGGTCGGTCCGGCGGGTTGTCGGCTGATCCGGTGGTAAATGATACTGCTCCGGCGGGGGCAGCGGGCCCGAGGACCGATTCCTTGGTCTCGACTCCGCGCAGATAAGTTGGGTTAATTACAATTCGGGTTGTTTGATTATGCCTGATGGTAATCGCGGGTCTTTGGGTCGGATAGGCCGCTACGTGACTTGTTGTGAATTGTGAATTGAGATTTAAATTAAATTGATCTATTTGGTGAATATTGTGGATTATGAATGATAAATAGGAATTATGCCATATAGTATAATTAGGCAGACCTGAATTGGATTGACTTATTGAATCACCAATAGGATATGATAGGAAGTTGGCCTTTGCGGGGCGTCGTCGCACCCCCGGGGGTCTTGGGTTAAAAACGTACGTACGGAAGTCCGCGACCTGTCCTGGCATCGCAGGGACAGGGGCTTCAACCCGCCCAAAGTGAATCTCCTTTGGGTTTCTGAGCTGGCCCTTTTATAGCATCGCTTGGGGTGCCATGACTCAAAATAGTTGATGTGGAATAAAATAAGGACATGATATTCAAATGGAAGGTGTTAAAATAAATATATTTATTTAAGTTGTTTTTCTCCGCGATCACATGCTGTTGTTAATTGTATGCTAACGTGGTGCTATTCTGTGAGTTAATGTTAGCTTAGGTATATTTTCACTCAGCAATTCACTGAGCGTGTAGTCGTTGTTGTTTGACTGCACGCAGGTAGGAACACAGATTTTGACGTGCAACCCGGAGGGCAGTGAAGTGGTGGTGCGGCGTGGATGGCTCCTATTACTTTAATAATTAAACTACATTAACATTATTTCATTTGGTTATATGGACCGTTGGACGTTACTTTGGTTTTATTATGCTTCCGCGATGTTTGGGCTTGTTTTATTACTCCGATAAATTTTGGTTTAGTTTCGAACTCTCACAGATGAATTTTATAATTTATTCAGTTGATTATTTTTTAAAAAAATTATGCATGCGAATACCAATTTAGTAACAACCCGGTTCGCTAACCCGTTGGTTCGGGTTACGCGGGTTGGGGTGTTACAAGTCTTCTTAACCGCTCAACACTCTGCCCCATTTTTCTTAACCGCAGGAAGAAAAATTATAGATTTATATAAATTCAATAAACCTAGACCATTTATATTTGATGTTTAAATGATACGGAGTATGTCTCATAAAAAAAAGCTAAGTCATTTTAATACTCCACATTGTAGAATCACAAACAATTGCGTATCACCCCGTGCATGGCACGGGTTAAAATGCTAGTTTATAAAAAAGAGAGACAAATAATGAACTTCTTTGAAACATTTACAAATAGGGTAAATTACAATAATAACACCAACAATAATGTTATTATTAAAATGTTAACTTTTAATGAGATCAGATAAGATCAATTTAAATCAGACGAAATCTTATTAAATCAGATTAGATATAATGAGATTAGATATAATTAAATTAGGTTCAATTAATTCAAATCAGATTCAATCAAATGATAATGGCCACGTTTGGCATCAGCGTTAGAGATTAGCGTTTGCGTTTTGAAAAAGTTATTCAACAGTAGCCTTTAGCGTTAGCATTTTCATAATTAATCAACACCATTAAAATTTTATCTAAAGAGCTATTGCTAATCGAAAACGCTGATTAGATAAGATTAGGTTTCATAGAAATAAGATCAAATTCAATGCGATTGGAAATTTGGAATAGAGCCTAGAGAAAAAGAAAGGGAAAGAAAGAAAATTACTCCGTTAAAAAAAGGTGAAATTTGCAGTGAATAGGACTAAAACATAAGTCATTTCCCAATGTAGAACTTAAACTTTTTTATTCACTAAATAGGACTTAATAATGACCAGTGAGAAGAATAATGTCTAGTGATGCTTGACATTTAATTGAATAATGAGTAATTAGATAATGACTAAGGTCCTACATTAAGAAATAAAAACATATATGATCTTATATTGAGAAAGTCATTATATTTTAGTCATTATATTATAAAAACAGAAAAGAATAAATCTCTTCTGGGTGTCAATATAGGGGACAAGAGCGGTGGGTTTCTAGCTCTAGTACTATAACCATTTGATTGAAACCTCCGACCCACGTCAAATCGTACTTTTGAGAATGGGTAAGAGAAAAGAGCGCCGGCAAGCCGCCATGAACGCCGTCGGTCGCAGGGTAAAGCTCGATCTCTTCGCGGAGCCCTCTGGTAAGCTAATTTCATCTTGAATTTCTAATTTTATTTTGATAAATTGAGCTTATGCGCTGATTTTAAGCCAGTTCCACACCCGCGGTTGTCAAACAAGAAAGGCGGAAAACTCCCATCTTGATATCGGATATAGTTCATAAGTGTTATAGGGCGTTTTGGATTGCTATTAAAAACTACTCGTACAAATTTCACCAATGGTACCTGAACTTTAGCTGGAATTTCGAAGTGGTACCTGAACTTCAAATCCTTTCACAAAAATCCCTGAACTTACACAATCCTTTCACTAATGAGCCATTAGCCCGTTTCTAGGTTAACTTCCGGTCATTAGGGCCAAATTCGAATTTTATATATTTTAAAATTTTCAATTTGACCCCATTTCTTCTTTTCTTTTCTTCCAGGCCCCGCCGCCGCCGCCCGCCGGTCAAAGTCGCCGGAAAATGAACTTTTT